GAAGAGCCTGGCTCCAGCCTGCAGTGGCAGCCCGCCCCTGCTCTGCATGCTGATCCAGGGATACACACCCGCCATGCCCTCCTGGGGTAGATGTAGCAGCAGGAGCTCCCCCCACCCCCACCACTTGGAGGAGCTGCTCATGGCTCCGTCCTGCACCCTGCTCCACCCTGGCTGGGTAGTGCCTGCCCTAGCCCCCCTCCCTCTATCACTGCAGGGGCCTCAATCTGCCCCCCACCCCTTCCCCCACAACAGAATTACCAGCTTGATGCTGCTCTCCATGCTGCCAGGCTTCATATTGGCAGTTGGATCAGTATCGGCTGATATGGCCCCAAAAATCTCTGCTGGTGCACTCCTAGAATAAACAGACAATGGGTTGTCCTTCCGGTGCCGGGTTTACCTCCCCTATAATTTCCTACTCCTCTGAGTGCCTTGGCAGCATTGTTTATCTGGCTCCTGTTATGGACTGGTGTCCTCATTCTGATACATCTCTGTGCCTTCTAGGGTATGACTTATTAGGGACACCAGTAAGACATTAGACAAGCCAGGCCCTCAGAAATATGAGATTCTAAGTTGTTTGGGTTCTAAGCTGTTTTGTACGGGGTGAGACAACATTGACTCTGCTGCTCATGCTACAGAAATGATGTTCAACCTCAACTCCACCTCAATTCCTCCTCAGCAGATGCTGTCATGGGGTCTGAAAAACTAAGTATATATCAGGTAGGCCTGTCCAAAGCAGCTAGTAGTCGCTTTGGATTTGGCTGATTCAGGGGACAGTGATTCTATTCGGTGATTCGAATCACTGACCGGAATCAATTTGGCTGAATCTCTGAATCATGCAGGCCCACCCCCTGCCTGCTCTCCCAGCTCCAGCAATGGCTGCCCCGCCTGCCCCAGCTCCTGGCATTTTGGAAAAGAAAAGCCCCGACTCATCAGGTGCTGGCCAGTGGGGGGGCAATCCCTGCTGCCTCCCACTGCCCCATGCTGCATGGGACACTCTGCGCAAGCCCCCTGACCTTCGCCCCCTCTGTCCCAGCACCCCTGTGGCTGACCCATTCACCCCAGCTCCAGCCGTTTAAGGAAAACAAAAAAACCCCATGCTCACTGGTTCCTGCCTGGCTGGGGGCGATCCCCGCTGCCCTTCACTGCCTCATGCCTTGTGGGGGGCTCTTCCATGAGTCCCCCAAAACCCCAGGGCCGCTGCAGGAGCTGATGAGTCCCTAGGGGGCAGTATTTTTTTCTTAAAGGGCCAGAGCTGGGACGGGTGGGGGGGGCTGGAATGGTGGGGAG